AGGTCCATCAATGGCTATTAGCCAGGATAGGTAGGAATGGTGTCCTTAGCCTCTGTTTGTCTGGAAATGGATGGCAGACTAGGGATCATGTGATGATTACTTGTTGTGTTCACTTCCTCTGGGGCACTTGGCATTGGCAACTGTTGGCAGACAAAATACTGGCCTATATGGACCATTGGTCTGACCCAGGATGGCCGTTCTTATGTTCACCGTTCTTCAGGGCATAGGATCTCAAGCCCCCAGTTATACTGGAAACAACCCTAGAAGAGATGGCTTAAAAGCAAGTATTTATACTATGGATTTTCCTTTGAACTAGACCAGAATTCAGATAAACTTCATGAACATTTTTTAATAACGAAGAGAAGAACAGTAACAATTTTTAGTGTTTTTTTTAATTCTACTGTTCCTAGATTATGAGAGAGCAAGGCGGGTTAGGTAATATTGCTTGTTGTACTAGCCTCTGTTGCATGAAAGATACACATTTTTAGCTACACAGAGTTTTGCGTCAGTTCCAGAGATGGCAGGACAATGTCTGAGCTAAATACATATGAAGAGAGGTTGATTACCAAAAGTGGTAGGGCTTGTTGGAGGCAGTCACTTGTAATTAATTGGGCTACTGAAAGTTATTTTTTTAAGCATAAAGGGCTTGAAGAGGAAATTTAAGTTAATCAACGTGTTACAATTTGTTGCAAAAAGCCATTAAAAAGTGTTCCTGTTAAATCCATGTGTTTTGATTTCTAGCCATGGTATTAATATTAGTTCCCAGGCTCACCTTTTGAAGATTTTGTGCAATGCTGACCCAACAGATACCACTTAAGGAAAACTTTCTGCCAGAGGTACTTGGGGCAAGCCCACACTTACATTGGAATGAACATAAGCAAGCACTCAAAGAATATTAATTATGTCTATACACTAATTACAAATGTATTTTAACCTATAATTAAAAGATACCATTGTCATAAATATATCCCTTCTGCATCAGTCAGCAACCAGAAGGGCCGGGTTCAGTATCTTGGGAAGTTCTTTCAACAAAGTGACTAAAACTGGCTCGAGCTCCCTCCCAGTAAACTGGGAAAAGTCCAACCTATCCACTGGGCGCCTTTAGAGGCAATTCTTCCCCTCTTGCAAGCACTGAGTTGGAGATAGAAACAGTCTGTTTAACAATAGTACTCTAGTGTCAACCCACAGGACCATACATAAACAAAGAAAACCCATAACATGAAAGAAACCTGTAAGCAAGGTACCAGCCCCGGAGTCTACAGGGTAAAGTCTTTTGCCTAAAGGTCTTTAGTCCAAACCCATTTAAAAAATCCAACTTACAGCTCTGTCTAGTCAATGCAGACCCAGACACATCACCCTGTCTTCACTCATTGAGCATGAGGCAATGCCACCCATGTGCTGCTTCTGATGTCCACTTGCTCCTGCCAGCAACCCAGCTGGGGGCCTGC